GGCCCTGGCCCCGCCCCCGGGGGGGCCGCGTGTGCCCTTGCCGGACCCGGACCCGGCCACACAGAACCTGGGCAGCCCCTGCCCGGGATCACGGCACATGCCGGTGCCGACCTCAGGCGTGCGGCGCATGCTTGGCCCCGCCCCCAGTCACGTGGCCTGTGAGCGGCCCCGCCCCCATACGCGCAGCGTGTGAGCGGCCCCGCCCCCAGGCACCCGGCAGCCCCAAAACGTTGGGGACCACTGCTCTGGCCTGTAGATGGCCCACAGGCCATGAGTTTGAGACCCCTGTGCTAAAGAAAGGAGGGGAATGGCTGCCTTTGTAAGTGGTTCAATTCAGACTCTTGCTCCATGTGCAACTTCAGTCAAAAACCATAAGGAAGAGGATAGAGAAGAAAAATATCATGCCATTATATAAATTAATGATGTAGCCTCCAGAAAACTGAGAGAAATACAGAGCGCACTCTCAGAAAGGATGATGCATAATTCAAGGAGTTCAAAAAAGGTGACACAAATGATCAAGGTCATGGGAAAAAATTGTATAGAAGAGAGAGACTGAAAAGGCTGTTTACTTTAGAAAGGAGATGAGTAAGTGGTCACGAGATAGAAATATATGGAATAATAAATGATCTAGAGAAGATAATTTGGAAATTTATGTTCTTCCTGTCTCCGAGCAAGAAAGCAAAGGAACATTCAATGAAATTAAAAGGTAGCAAATTCAAAGCTGATAAAAGGAAATACTTCTTCACACAATGTGCAATTTGACTGTCGAATGCACTGTTACAGGAAATCATTAAAGACCAGAACTTGGCAAGATTAAAACAAAGATTGGACATTTATATGGAAAACAAGAACATCCAGTTTATAATTAAGTATGATAAAATGTTGGAAAGAATGTTAAACCTTCTGCTTCAGAGCTTAAGCCAAACTGCAATTATTAGATATCAGTATGAGACCAAATGTAGTGGATAAATGATCTAATATCTGTTTGTTTAGTTGTTTTGGGGAAGGTGAGTTATTGGGGTTTGGCTTTTGTTTTTGTTCTTCACTTGAAGCATCTGGTGGTACCACTGTTGAAGACAAGATACTGAACTAGATAACCCTGGGTCTGATCCAATATGGCAATTGCCATTATATTAATTTCAATTAGCTAATAATAAACAAGTAAAAAACAACAAATAGTCTAGTAGCACCTTTCAGACTAACACAACATGTAGATGGTATCATGAGCTTTCGTGGGCGCAATCTGTTCATACCTAATTTTAATTGTGATGGGTTGTATTACAGCTTGACCTCCAATGTGCTGATCAAGCCACTGGTGCCTGCCTTCTGGGGATCCTCACAACCCTGTCCCTCTGGGCCAGAAGCTCTGATTCCCCCCAGCCAAGGCATAGAGTTGGGGGTTACAATCACCCTTCAAAACACCACAGATGCTGAACCTGCTCAGCTCTGTGAGGACTCAGCTATAACGCTGCTGGTAGCACCCAGGAAACCAACCCCACAAAGGAACCAAAAGCTAAAATAATTTAATCTTACTCTGTGTAAAACTTACACAGAGAAAGCTCATAAGGTCAGCCTTTTTTATCAGTGACAATTGTTTACACAGTATGAGGTGACATGATTACATGTCTTTCTAGGATCAGCCTCGTGTTTGGGCTTACAAGAAATAATTATGGGTCACGGTTTGAATACTGAGCCATTAAGTACCTGAAATATCACTAATGGACCTCATTAGCACATTTACAGTTAAAACCAGATTCACACTTCAGACTTCCAGCTTCGCATACAAGAATGATACACGCACAAAAATACGATATACAGACTCAGCAGACTGCAATTTTGAAAATATGCTACATGATCTCTTTTGCATAACACATGTTCATGTTATGCATATTCATATTTATAAACCAGTTTTCATAAAGCATGGGGGCATGTGACCATGACATCTATATTTTAGACAGCTAGAGCAAATTGAGATTTTCTTGTGGACTCTGCTGTAACTGGACTGAGGTAAGTGCTGTGTCTCATGAGTCACCAAGAGTTTCAATGTCTCAAAACAAAATTCTTTTCCCACTCCCAGTTCTTTGACACAAAAATAAAATATAGTGACATAAACATTTGTGACCTTGTTTGCCTTTTCCTTTCTCTTTTTGTTGAATTGACTAATCCCTCCTGTACATGTTCCATCTACATTCATTTTTCCTCCCCTTCCTAATTTTCCTCTCCGGTTAGATGTCTCCAGTGTCTTTTTAGTTCCCAAAAGATCTTCTCTTCCCTTCTGCCTCCACTCTGGCAGGGCAGGAGGAGACTTCATGCGCTCCACCTGCTGAGAACAATCAAGGCTTAGGGGTGGAAGGAGAGTGTGAAGTTTCCTCCTGCCCTGAAAGGGGCTCAGCACTTAAATCAACTGCTGCTCAGCTGGTGATTGGCTCTAAGCAGGGTGCTCCCTTGCAGGGCTGGGGCAGGGAACGAGAGACTTCATATGCTCCCCCTTCCCAGGCCCTGATTGAGCTGGGGGCATCAGGAGGAGCATGTGAAGACTCCTCCCACGGCCAGGAGCAGGGGTACCAAGGGGGAACCACCAGCTGTTAACAGCTGGCAGTTCTATAGGGAGGCAATCAGGGTAAGTGGGTGGGGAAGGATAGAAGTGCCGGGGCCCCACTCTGTCTGTCTGAGGCCCTGCCCCTTCCAGGGCAGCTCTGGGCCACTTCAAAAATTTCAGAAATTTTTGAAGTGGCTCCTGGTCAAAAGTTATTGCCCACTCCTGCAACAGTCTGTATCTGCCTTGTCAGTGATCTTCACAAGCCACTAAGTGTCAGAAATGCAACTAATAGAAGAAAAGAGACAGACACAATGGCAGACAGACAGACACAATGGATGCGTCCAGACTGGCAAAATCTTGCCGCCTGTCTACACTGGCCGCGAGTATTTGCACAAGAATACTGACTTTGTACTGTTCAAAATTAGTGGTTCTTGCGCAAATACTCCAATGCTCCCACTCAGGGATAAGCCCTCTTGCGCAAGAGGGCCAGTGTAGACAGCCAAGTTGATTTCTTGCGCAAGAAAGCTCAATGGCTAAAATGGCCATCGGAGTTTTCTTGCACAAGAGAGCGTCTACACTGGCATGGATGCTTTTGCACAAAAGCAAATCTTTTGCGCAAAGGCACAATCCAGTATAAACGCTCTCTTGCGCAAATACTTTTAACAGAAAAACTTTTCCGTTAAAAGTATTTGCGCAAAATCATGCCAATCTAGACGCAACCACAGGGTGTCTTAACTACATCCCTCTTTCAAAAGAGGGATGTAGATTAGGCAGATTGAAAGTGCAAATGAAGTGGGAATTTAAATATCCTGTGCTTCATTTGCATAATTACATCACAGCATTCTTTTGAAAAAGGGTATTTCAAAAGTGAAACTGCTATGTATACCTGAATCTTTCAGGGTGGGGGTGGAAACCTTTTTCAAAAGATCCTGTACTCCTCCAAAAATGAGTATAGGAAAGGGTGTATTTTTTTTTTGAAAGAACCATGTTTATGCATGCCCATAGAGAATATGTTTTAGATGGCAGCAGCCTCCATTCTTTTGTAGCAAAGGTGTCTTCTATTCAGGGTGCTGATTGGAATGCAAAACTTTCTATCTTCTTGCTTAACGGGAAGGTGGGTTCCATGTGGTTTCTCTTTACTGGGAATGTCAGCCACTCAGCCAGTAAAGAAAAAACAGGAGAGTGGCCAAGAATTGTGTGAAGCATTGAGCTGAGGCTGCTGTAAGAATGAATCTGTGTGGTGTGCCACAGCCAGACCTGTATTCACAGGTTCAGTATTTCAGTGTTCTTTCCTGGCAGGAATATTTGAGTTTGTGCTCCAAAAGTTAATGGATGCCACTATAGGACAATCACAGCAGATTACTGTATCATTACTGGAAATAATATATTCAACTTGGACTTTTTTGGACTTTTCCTTACGGAGTAGAGTCATTCAAGTACAATTTTCTGCACTTAAGTTGCATTGGCTTTAACTTTCTCTTCCATGAATGTTGGTTTAAAATTAGTTCATTTTTGCCTTAAACTTTTATTGTGAAATAATAATTCCAGTAGTTATAATGTTGCTATAATAGATGCCTCACTTGTAAAAACATAAAAAGATAGTAAATCCAAATGCAGTTGGAAAATACATCCTACTGACTGGGAATAAGAATGATGCAGAGAAGATGACAAGCAGTTGCCCTCATGAGTCCTGGTACAATGGATCTGAGCTGGAACACTTCCTCAGCTTTACTTCTGGTTTGGTGAAATTTTAGACCAGTATCTGAATGTGACAGTTACAAAAATTAATGTTTATTCTGTTATGGTACTTTCATATCCCTCTCACTACCCTCTTTTTCCTCCTTGGATGACTTGCAAGGTCAATGTCCTTTTACCAGTGCAACAACTTGCTCTCAGACAAGTTGCTTCAGTGGTAATGCTTATGTAATCATTTTTCGTTACTTGTATTAATAGAGCGCTATACACGGCTGAAGTCTATGTGCAACAGGTGCAGTTGCATCTGTGGAAACAATGGAAATTATAGCATAGATATGCACTTGTTTTTACAACCAGATTTTCTCCTAGAAGTTCATTTCAGAGACATTGTGTACATATTTCTCTATTGTACTGTCTGTGCTGATTGGGGTTCATTAGTCTCTGAGTTGTGTGGTAGCCTAATGTGCCACTTTCTTTCAGTGACTACTGAAAATAACTCCTACAACCAGAAGAAAACTTGCAGTTGTGCACAGTTGTAGTCTTGCAGCAGTTTGAGGAAAACTTTTTTGGGGTAGGGGGTATCTTCAGTAGTGTATTTTTTTCTTTCCCATTACTGAACATCTGTACCCTGGAAAGGGACAAGGGCATTTTGTAAGTATGGTGACGAGCTTTGCCATAGAGAGAAGAAACGTGCTGCAGAAACTGCAGGGTAGAGTTGCATAGTGGGGTTGGATTAATTCCTGGTCGTTTTGTAATCTTATAGGAATAATTTTTAATCAAAGTAATCTTTAATTTCTGGGTAGACCAGGCTCCTGGGGCCCAGGGGTAACCCATGGCACCAGAGACCTACTGCACGGCTGGAGCAGGATCAGAGCTTGGGTTAGTCGTGGGATTTCCAGCGACTTCGTTCCAGTGCCCCTGTCCTATTAATACCAATTGTTACAGTACAGGCGCTGAGTAGCACTTTCTGCCTATCCACCTGCTTTTGCGGCTGTTCGTGCTGCAATCTGGAGCGGGCCCATCCGCAGCAGCGCGGTAGCACAGAAGCTGTTTGCTGATTGGCGGTCTATGGAGGGAGGCCGGGCGGGG